AATGATCTTTCATAGTTGTGAACCCTCTCATGCAAATTATGAGACAGCAAGCATTAAAAAATTCCTTTCTAATTGATCAATATGCATGTCAAAGTATGTCTTCCTTTTTCCCTCACAGGATTACTTCTCTTGCCCATAGGCAATACTCCCCTTAAGGTCCCCTGCACTAGTACACGTTTAGCCACCAGGGGGCGAGCGTCCTCCATCACATCATTATCAGACCTGTCAGGGTAACCAACAACAGCTCACAGTATTTTCCCAAGAGACAGAAACATAACCTTGTTCTTGTCACAGCTAAAAATGAAATGCAGAATTTACATAGAATTATCAAAATGTGTTTTATTTCGATTGTCAGTAAACCCCAGCAGACCAACTTCTGGCTCTTTTTCATTCAATACTTTTTCTATGAAAAATACAGTGGCAAATCATGTTGAATCTATTTTATCTATCAATCAAATGGTAATTTTCATAATGCTTGTTACCATAGCAGCCTCAGCCTGTGATACTCTGCTCCTCCTGTTTTCTTCATGTTGGTGCCCTATTGCAGGTAAGCAATCAAGAATTTCTCTAGGGGATTCTGGAACAAGGAAAAGAGTGTGCAGAAGGGAAACCGTGTAATTACCACCGTGACGGGTTGACAACATGGAATCCGCCGACGACTCCACCCCCTCACTTTAAAGATAAGGAAACCAAGTTTCTAAACTAGCAGTGCATTATGTGAACGGAGTTTGAGAACACAACCCACCCTGAAAAAATTTAGCTCAAGAATGACTGACGTTAAATGACAGGTTTCCCCCCGACAATGCCTCAGAATACCTCCCTAATTAATTCCTAAAACACTCCAGAAATGTGTCAGTTTTATTCTTTAACAAAGAAACCAAGAGAGAACTCAGGCAAAGTGTCTCCTTTTTTCTCTTAAAACAAAAGCAGAGTTAAACATACAAAGAAGGGCTCTTCTTGTCATCTAGGTTTGTGGTTGGAACATTTGGTCATGACCTTCTGTAATAATCTGTCAGAGACATTGTACAGCAAGAGGCATACACTCTCAGATGGTTCAGGTTTTCCCATGAGTTATGGACCGACCAAGGATCATAGACAAACGAAGCAGCAGATGATTAAAACATAAACACTTAAAACATTCGAATTTGGGACGTGGGTAAGTAATGTGAGCATTATAAAAAATGAGGTACTAAATCTTAAATCCAATAACTGTTATCAAAATTATAAATGGAGAAGTTTCGCTTGTTCTGAATCTTTAATTGGTTCACTGATTCCAAGAGCTGATAGGCACTTTGTGTGTGGATGATAAGATTCCTAAGCATCCCTGTATACCTAGCAAAAGCCTTTAAGAGAAGAAGACCCGGGAGTCCTATAATTTCGCATCTCTAAGAGGCTGGAGGCAGAGACCGTTAAGGAAAAGTCGTCACCATGGAGAAGCACCTTGAACAAATTTGATCCTCACACGGACAATCTCTGGCAACAAGCCACAAGTAGTTATGTGCTAACTGAATACTTTTTTTGAGGTTGACCCTTAGAAGGAATCTCTACCCTTCTAGACGCTGTGAATTGGATGTATTTCCAATACAGGGATTGACAAAAGTAGGCTTACAGTTGTGAGCACACAAAACACAGAGTCTATTCTTGGATTATTTATTAATTTTACTGTATTATTTTCCATAGAAACAACTGTAAACCTACTTCAGCCCCACCTTGTGCTGGGGAAGTCGCTGAAATTAAATATGTTGAATTTGAAGAAAACGCTATCTATTCTTTCATCTCCTGATGATCAATAATTATATTTTTCAGCATATAGAATGGAAATAAAACATTTACTAAGTTTTTAAAAAGAGGAATTACTGCAGACACGATTAAGACCAACCTAGGGGGGTGAATTCCTTTTCACTGAATCATGGTTAGTGACTGTCGTCATGCCTTTTTGCAATGGGAAGGAAGTCTGACAGATGTGCTGTTACTTGTGAACATGAAAAGTTGCCATGAGCCAGCCATCTCAGGTGGTTTTTTGAATGTCTGCAGTCAAATGGGAAGCCAGAAAAAATACTCTTATTTCTCTCTCGTATTTGGTCCAATTGTTCCTGAGCACAGAAGACACTTCATTCAAAATGCAGATTCATCTATGACGACTCACGTTCATTCCAAACTTGTCTAAAAGGCGAGTTATCTGGATCTTCATGTCCACCTGTAACAGGTGAACCTCCAAAAATTGTGAGATAATGTTTGGGAACAATATAAAAGCCCTACTAATTTCCCTAAAAATGTGACAAGTCACCTGGCTCCAGAGAGTTTGCTGATAGTTCCTGGGATAATTTCTTCCTGGATAGAGACTATTCTAGGGCCTGTTTGGGGGCCTTCACCAGGAGTGACAAGGCAGCAAGTAATTAGCATCAGTAGAAACCTCTCTCCTAACAGGTCCAGCAGCAACACTCCAGGGACCTCTGAGACTTAAGGTGGGAAGTGATGGCTGCTAGTTATCGAGACAGACAATTCTTCAAGGAGGCCTCGGTCACACTTTAGAAAAGAGGATCAATCTGAAGATTAGTACATTTACTGCTGAAAAATTTCACAGTCCTTCAGGATGAAATACCTTCAGAACATTTTCTGTACATTTTTTAAAAGTTTCGGAATAAAAAGAACATGAGCCCCACTGACTGAATAGGTCCCCACATGTTCAGTGATGGGATTATTCCGGAGAGACTCTCAGGTCAGTGGCATTTTTCTCTGGACTCAATGACAAATCTCTTTTCCTGTTTTTGAAAAGAGGTAGGATGTAGCGATGGCTAAGAAAGGTAATTTTACTCACACTCAAAGACAATTAAAAACATAGATGGACTTCCTGCTCATGTGTAGAAAGAGATGAAATGTCATCTGTAGCTTTCTGACGGCTTTGAAAGCAGACAAGGAAAGGTGTGGACATTCAAAAATATATTTCGGATTCACACAGGCAGATAAAGAATCAGGAAATGGAAAACAGAGAACACCAATGACCTCGCCCTTCCTTTGAGCTCCTAGTCTACTTTGAGAACCTGGTAAAAGCGGCTGACCTTCTCTAGGAGAAAATCTATTTGCATGTGAATAAGCAAACATACAACTTTTACATAAATTTCATGAGTTTCTCCAAAGTCCTAAAATGCCATTGAGTTGAAGACCTTAACATGATGACCCTTTATTGAACATTTTATGTAAAAGTCAAATAGCCTATGTCTGGTGAATTTTGGTTTAAATTCAAAGAAAGAAGATATTAATACCTATCCTCCCTCCCTCCTTTCCTCCCTCCCTCCCTCCCTCCCTTCCTTCCTTTCTTCCTTCAATTTTTGTCCTTTATTTTATTCTTTTATTCTCTCTCGCCCCGTCTCTCTTGCTTTCCCTCTGTCTTCCAGCAGAGACGAGCTACATGAAAAATGACCTCAGCATCAAATCAGTGGAACAACAAAATTTATTGGTAAATCATTTTACATTTCACAAACCACTTTCTTATGTAAAATAGCTATGGACTACTGTTTCTCCCTTACTTGTGATCTTTATAGCAGACATGCGTCAAGGGCGTTACTATGACTGATTTTCTAGTGCGGAGATGGTGGCTCAGAGGGAATGCATAGTAGAAAGAGGACAAAAGTGCATGTCTCCTGCCCTTCAGTCACATGCTTTATCCACAACATTGAGTCAGAAGAAATACTCATCCAGTTTTTAGGCAGGTTCTTACTGGCGAACTTTAGGGAACTATTTCTTGATAGCTTATCACTGAGAACAGTATGGTCAGTAGACAGGTATGTAAGTAGTGATCTAGAAATAATTTGATAAGTTCTCATGTTGAGCATCTCAATATGTCACCATCTTAGAGGGGTTACGTAAAGTCTGATGTGAGAAGTGGGGTTTCATGGTTCTTGATACTTACGATGGTGTTTTATCCCTAAACCTTGAAAACTAAACATGCTACAGCGGAACCATCTGGTTACAAGAACACTGCGCAGCACTTTCTGACCAAGAGAATCGGCAGCAGTTCTGCAGGTCTCACATCGAGCAGTGTCTTCCTCCCACCTGTCCACTCACCACTGACTTCAAAAAATAGCTACTACTCTTTTTTTTTAATTTTTATCCTCACCCAAGGATATTTTTGCATTTATCTTCAGATAGAGTGGGAGGGAGAGAGGGGGGAAGAGACAGAGAGAGAAACATTGATGTGAGAGAAACACATCAACAGGCTGCCACCCACATGACCCCAACCAGGGCCGGGGACAAACTGCAACTGAGGTACGTGCCCTTAGCGGGAACCGAACCCACGACTCTCTGGTCTGCGGGCCAATGCTCTAACCACTGAGCCAAACCAGCCAGGGCACAGCTACTACTCTTATCCTTTACATCTTATTCTTTTTCTAAGTTATGCAATGCTTATAAAATAACCAGAAATCGAATGCCCAGTGCTTTTCCCAGTCTGAAGCATTTGCTGAAAGAAGCAAACTCTGTTCATGGAAAATCAAGATATGATGATACCGGGCCTTCATTGTGCAGCTCTAACATGTACACACGCACGTGAATAACTTAGGTGGACACTTCTCCAGGCTCTTAATACTTATTTAAGGTAACACTTTTCCGAAAAGGGACTTGGGATAATAACTTGTTACCAATTTGAAGATACATGATTTTACTGGCCTTATCACATCATCTGTTCTTAGATAATATAAAAGCAATGTAGGCAGAACCCAACCTACTATAAGTCAAATTGAAGCATATCTAATGATTGCTGGCATTTTTCCTTCAGAATTATCCTTCTACAAAGTTAATGACGAGGTCATTGGTAGAAGCTAAAGCGGCTTTTCCAAAGCAGGTCCCTTCAGGCCTTCTATGAAGGAAAGCATGGAAAACTACCAGCCATGTCTTCAAGGTTACATCAGCGGGAAGAAGCAACAAAGAAAACAAACATCACATAAGAACGAATGCAAAGCCACCACGAGGGGCTGGTGACAAAACCTGGCCGTGCGCTGTACCTGTACAGATGAAACTGGAGAGCCCCCCGTAGATGACTTCATCATTGTCGGGCAATATAAACGGACACCTCGTCTGAACCTCCAAACAGTATTGCTTGCAAGGAATTGTCTTTCTGCAGTTAAACTGTGCGACTTCAAAGTACTGGGAACACAGCCAGGCTTTGTAGACAATCTGAAAAAAAAAGAGAGAGAGAGAGAGAGAGAGAGAAGAATCAAAAATAGGGGGAAATGACAACAGTTCTGACTCAAATACAGAACATGCTGTACTGTGAGAAACACGCTGTGGTTTCAGGTGGATCCTGAGAAAACCCGCCATTCGAACAAACATATCTACACAATGTCAGCTGCAAGTGATAAAAACGTAGCAACACAAGTCTGCACTAGAGCAAAACATTATTTGATTAACCCCTTAAGGGAATACAGGTAACATGGCGTTTGATTTGATGTAGCTCATTCGAAAAACAGCGGAGTTAAGCAGGACCTGAAGTTTTCAAAATCCAATGATTTAGAAACTAAAAGAAATAATGGACCAATACACCGTGGTTATTTACTGCAGGGCGCGTGGTGTCTCTGAGCACGCGTTCCCTCCAGCGATGCTTCCAATGGACACTAGATGGCGCTGAGTCCTCTACAACGATGGCCCAGCAGATCCAGAAGCACAGACGGAACAAGAAGCAGAGGATATTTACGTTTATGATTCACATCAAATGCACTAAATAGCTCATCCTCCGAAAGCCCGGAAACACCCCACCTAGGTCAGCCACAATATGCTGTGATGTGGTTATCACTACAGGAAGGAAACCTCATCAGAACCTCATCACAAATTGGACCTTTGAGGTACTGTGTGATCCACATGAATGAATATTGGTTAAGTATTTATTTAACTTAATAAAATGTGAAACGATTATGACTTCACTTACCCTTTTGTTTTTGAGAGTTATTTAGGAAAATAAATATTGAAGAAAAACACCTTTTTCTGATATAAGGAATTAAACTGAACATAAACTCAAACAAAACAATGGCAAAACTAACCCATCTACAGTATAGATCACGGTGGTTCAGGGATTTCCCATATCTTTGCCACGGGTGGTTTTTGTTTATCTGTTTCTAGGGTTAATACTATTCAGGTAAGAATTCTGTCAGCTATGTCCTCCCAGACAAGTGAATGGTTTACAGACAAATGTCCTCTAAGAGATCATACATATTTGACAATAATAACAAGAATAATAGCTGATATTTATCAACTCCATACTCTGCTCTAAGCAAGTCACATATGTTTTTCTATATGTAATTCTCAGTACACACATGGAAAGTGACTATTAGTCATATTTTGCATACAAATGATTATTACTGGAAATAAGTGAAAGATCTAGAATTCAAACCCACATTCTGTAGGATTCCAAATGCTGCACTCTTCATAACTGTTATGTTTAATTAGAAACTTTTTTTTAAAGAAGAACTTAAGAAATGGAAAGAGAGTTTTCAGATTGGTCTAAAATCAGCACTGAATTGCATGGGCCTTGTCAATGTTCATTTGGTATGAAAATGATATTGAATTTTTTATTTATAACTTTTTATTGATTTGATCAAAATGAAACTTTATTATTTGATCAAAGGCATCTCAGTGGGGATAAAATGGGATACATGTGAAATTCAGATACAATTTTAGATAGCTAAAAGTAATTTTATTTTCTGTCTTCTATGGTTCATAATCACCATGTACTCTGATAGAAAAATATACAAATGATTAGTATTCTTACAGGCCTTTTGAACAGATCTTAACCTAAAAGTGTACATTGGAAATTGCACCCCTAAGATTTCTTCAATTTCAACGGGGAAGTGGCGTGGAGTGTGCAGGTGAGGGACACGTGGGGTCGGTGCTGCCCCTGTGCCTTGACCTCAGAGACAGGCTGAAGGCATCCGTCTCAGAACAGAGGAAAGAAAAAGGCCAGGGTTTTCTAACCATACTTCAGGGAAGCTAATGCTTGTTTGTTTGTTTGTTTGTTTGTTTGTTTGTTTTTAAAATACCACTAGTATTTGTGCAATATGACATATATGTAATATGACATTTATAACACAAACTGAGCTGTAATCCAAGAATAGTGTCTATTTTGTGATTCCTGGTTTAGATTTTCTTCTCAGGTACTAGCAGAAGTTGAGCATGTTTATGCATACAGTTCTAACAATAATAAATTCCATTACAAAGAAAGCTTGTAGTCTGTGCATTTCTGGGATCCTAAAGATTAGTCATCACTTTTCTCTTAGGGAATGTCCCTGTGTAATTGCAGAAAATTACATATACGTGTGTTTTATGGGTCAGACTGCTCTCCATTTCTCTTCCTAGTTTGTTTTTGCACAATTATTCTAATTAAAATTATTCCTAACTATGAAGTCTCCTGTAAACTCTGTCTTAAGAAACACTCTCTTCTCTATCACAGACGATGGGGTATCACATATTGAAGTCTCTTGGGATATATACGCAGCCCCTTTCGATCAGTCTCCGCAGCGTTGCCCAGTTGGAACAGCTCCATTTTTATTCTAGATCTTCAAATGCTATGTCAGCTACATTTTCTTTGCAGATTTCTACTTAAAAGAAACAAGTCATCCAAGCAGTTTTTATACTTGTCAGGTAGTAATTACGAAGAAAGTGCTTATGATTTGCAGAATTCTGGACCCTCCATGGGACCCGAGCAACCTCTCTAGCCAGGTTTCACTGCATCATCGATTATTTTGATCCAAGTCTCAGCCTTATGAAATGCAATAGAATATTCCTCATTGGAGTCTTAAATAGTTTCCAGGGATGCAAGATGTGTGAAAGCAATCAGGGAAAACTTCGTGGGCAGAGAAAGAAAAGCGAGGTGCTTATTATTGGCTGATACCTGAGGGAGTTGTTGCTAAGTGTTGATAGCTTTTCAGATGTGAAATTAGAAGATAAAGATAAGAGACAAAAGGGACAGGTAAATACTGGCATGAAGAAGAGCTTTTTTGGCAGAAGCAAACCACAGGAATAAGATGGGCTGCCGCATGAGGTCTGGAGTTCTCTATACCTGGAAAAATTCCAATAGACTTTAGGGAACTCTTGCCTGTGTGCTGTGAGGAGGATTCTTGTGTCAGAAGGCTGAGAACCAAATGGTTCTGATATAATTTTCAATGCCCTTTGAAAGTTTTTGAGGGAGGGAGGTTGAGAAAGTTAGTTGTTTTGCATTGGCACAAAGCTAAACAAACAAGATAAGTACTTTTTAAAAGTGGTAAAGGATTCTCAAATTAAAATAAAACACATGATGAGAAATGAATATATACTAGTCTTCTTTCATAAGAACTCCATAATAATAAAGAAGGTCAGAAATCCATTTTGTAATGGCTTGGCCTTAACCTGTAGAGAGAAAGCTTAGGTGATTGCTTTTCTAGGTGTCACTGAATGGTGTGAAGGATTATACGGTGCTAAACAATTATTTTGGGAAGGAACAAATATGTGTGTCAGGTCTCGGGTAACAAATTAATGGCTAAGCGACATCCACCCACACCGTCATTAAGGGCTTGTACCATTTTCTACCTGTAGAAGTAGTGATGTTTGCCAGGTAATTATGCTCAGGAAGGATACTTCAAATACACCATTCATCCACACTCTCACCTCTGCGCCGTACCCCTTGGAAATGACCACTGACTCTGCAAACCCGCTCGGGCAGCTGTCCATCACACAGGAATACAGAACATGCTCAAGTTACAGCCTAGAAGAGGGACACATTACTAAAATGGCCTAAATGAGAACCTTATTTTTACTTAAGACTTGGGTAACAATTTTCTCTCGAAACATTTCTCATTTGTTATTTTTCCTCATGAAATCCTTGAGAGAGGTGTGGGAAAAATTTTACAAGTGAAGGAACAGTTACAGAACGATTACAGTAGTAAACACATGGGATTTTCGACAGCTGATGAACACGGGTGATGGAAACTCCAGTAACTGAAACATGTCTGAGAGGATGTAGAAAGTGATGACTGTGCAGCTTTGGCCAGGTAGCTCAGTGGTTTGAACCAACTCTTGTACACCAAAAGGTAGCGGGTTCAATTTCCAGTAAGGGCACATGCCCAGGTTGCAGGTTTGATGCCCAGTAGTGGTGCCTTTGGGAGGCAACCAATGGATATTTCTCTCTCACATCGATGTTTCTCTCTCTCTTTAAAGTCAGTTTTAAAACTTAAAACAAAAGTGGTGACTGTACAAAAGCGTCTGGTTCTCTAGGGTCCCCGAGGCATGACGCTTCGGGGTGGAAAGGTCCCAGAGACGGCCTAGCTGAGTCTCCAGTGTTGATGTGGGAACTGAGAGCTAGAAAGATTGCAGTTGATGGAGCCCAAAGTCGCTGATGTCCAGGCCATTGCTTTAATAATGCACCCCGTTATTTGGAAGGCACCATCTGAGTACTATCCATTCCTAACACATCCCCTTCTTTTGCAGGTCACTTCACTTCAAACTGCACTTCTGAAACTTTCCCTCGCAATTCTGCACAGTGGGCGTAATGCGCCACCACCCAACTTGGCCCTTGAGCCGACTTCTGGGTCTTCTCTGTACTCACACTCCCTCGGGGACCCAGGCCCCCTGAAAGATGTGGGTGAGGACAGCAAAGGGTGAAGAGAGGAGGGAAACCCAAGGGACCTGTGATCTACTGACTTCATTTTCAGAATCTTGATGAAGACCATTTTTTTTGTTTTTGTTTTTCTTTTTCTTTTTAAGATAATTTTCAGTGTTCAGCAACGTTTGGGTTGTAATGGCGCAAACATGGTTGAGTTGAAAATTTGGGAGATAGGCAGAGGGAGGCTTCTTTGTCTGCTCCTGATTATGGGAAGTGATGTTAGGGAATGCTTTCGGTGGATATACATAGGATGAATCTGAAATAATCACCATTTTGTTCATCAGAAGTTATCCCAGTGCCCTGAATGATCATGGCCATTAGAATTACCACTATAAATGACCTTCACTGTGTCCTTGTCAGGTTAGCAGTACCTCTCTAGGTTCTGGACATTCCAAATGACTACGGTTAATTTTGTGGCTATGCCCAAGATCGATATTTTTCTAACAGAGACTTGAATTCTCATTTTTTAAAAATATATTTGCCTCCCTCTTCAGAATCTATATCTATGTTTTAGAGCTAGGTAGAAGATTTATGTTACAAATATACA